GCAGGGTTAAACTCAAGGAGCCAGTTGCTGGACCAGGCTTGTAGCCTGTCCAGGTCTCTTTGTAGTCCTGCCTGATCCTCATCCGATTGATTCTTCTCATTAACTTCACATCATCCAAACAAGGACACTTCTGAGTCTACCCCTTCCGTTATGTCATTCACATATACCAAGAACAGCACAGGTCCTAGGACTGACCCCTGTGGAACCCCGCTTGTCACAGGCGCCCACTCTGACACCTTGTCACGTACCATGACTCGTTGTTGTCTCCCTGTCAGGTATTCTCTGATCCATTGCAGTGCCTTTCCTGTTATGTGTGCCTGATCCTCTTGCTTTTGCAGTAACCTCTTGTGAGGAACTGTGTCGAAGGCCTTCTTGCAGTCCAAAAAAATGCAGTCGATCCACCCCTCTCTCTCTTGTCTTACTTCTGTCACCTTGTCATAAAACTCTAGTAGGTTTGTGTGTGTGTGTGTGTGTGTGTGTGTGTGTGTGTGTGTGTGTGTGTGTGTGTGTGTGTGTGTGTGTGTGTACTCACCTAGTTGTACTCACCTAGTTGAGGTTGCAGGGGTCGAGTCCAAGCTCCTGGCCCCGCCTCTTCACTGGTCGCTACTAGGTCACTCTCCCTGAACCATGAGCTTTATCGTACCTCTGCTTAAAGCTATGTATGGATCCTGCCTCCACTACATCACTTCCCAAACTATTCCACTTCCTGACTACTCTGTGGCTGAAGAAATACTTCCTAACATCCCTGTGATTCATCTGTGTCTTCAACTTCCAACTGTGTCCCCTTGTTACTGTGTCCAATCTCTGGAACATCCTGTCTTTGTCCACCTTGTCAATTCCTCTCAGTATTTTGTATGTCGTTATCATGTCCCCCCTATCTCTCCTGTGTGTGTGTGTGTGTGTATGTGTGACCCAATTAATATTTGCACCAATAACTAATTACAGTTGTGACCGGGTGTGGACGTGTGAATGGCTCATTACTTTGTAATTTGTTCATGATTGCAACCATATATAGATGTGTAGATGATTCATTACCTTTGTAACTTGTCATGATTGTGACCAGATCTACTTGGAGTTCTTTGCCTTTGTAACTTGTTCAGCTCTCAAAACTTTGGGGTGCAGTCCCTGGGCCCATTATGTAATCTTTTGACTACCGTCCACAGAATGGGTATGGGGTGCATAATAAGCATATTAATTAAACTAAACTGGCAATAGATGATTGAGTGATCATTCATACTGCTACGTTTTGCTGAGTTGTTATTGACTTAAGGTGAGTTGCTGTTGTGGATCCCCAGGCACAAATAGCATAGGTGAGGTAGGGTATATCAGTGTGGAGCATACTGTAAGGAGTGCTTACACAGTAGGCTTTTCAACTGAATACAGAGGAGGCAGCAGAAGCAGTAGAGATGTAAAGATGATGTAATCAGTCCATCACCCTCAAAGACGTAGTTTTAAGGTGGTCAATCCCTCAGGCTGAAGAAGTGTTTATTGCTTGACAAGTACTTACGAATGAGAAGGGTTGGATTTGAGAGGGGCCTACCCAGTAGGTTTGCTACACTGCATCTCACTGGTTACATTCTTACTTCTGCTAGTGGGCCTGCCTTTTCTGTCATCAAGATTTTCTGCGCCTCTCCTTGGCAGTATGTAAGTCTCCTTTCTGTTGCTGCAGCTTCACAGTGTTCCAGTCTATGGAGCAGAACTTTTCTCCAGACTGAGAGACTGACCATCTCAAAATTACATCTTTGAGGGTGACGGACTAATTAGATTGTCTTTACATTTTTACTATTTGTGATGTCTTCTCTGTATTAGACTGCATCAGCCTACTATGTAGGCTGAACGTTACAAAATAAAGACACCTTACTGTTGCACATGTGTCTTATCAAGGTTCAGTGTGACGTTGGTCAACTCTCCTGCTCACACGATGCAATATCCATATTTCTATAGTTTCTGCTTCTCTTCAGAGTAGCGGCGGTGGTGGTGTTTACAACTGTAGAGTCAAGTTGTTACTTGCAAATTCTAGTGAGCTATGGCCAACCACTTACAGTCAAGAAGGGTCTTGTGAGAGAGACTAGTGGTATACCTGGAGGGTATTCCGAGGGTCAACGAAACCCGTGACCCAGTCCATGACCAGGCCTTGCGGTGGATCAAGGCCTGATTAATCAGGCTCTTATTGCTGGCGGCATACAAACCGATGTACGAACCACAGCCCGGCTGGTCTGGTAGTGACTTCAGGTGTCTGTCCAGCTCCTTCAAGAAAACAACCAGGGGTCTATTTTATGTATACTGGGAGGCAGCTGAACAGTCTTGGGCCCCTGACACTTATTGTGTTGTCTCTTAGCGTACTCATGGTGCCCCTGCTTTTCAATGCGGGATGTTGCACCGCCTGCCAAGTCTTTTACTTTCATAGGAAGTGATTTCCATTTGTAGTTCTGCGACTAGTCCCTCTAGGATTTTCCAAGTGTACATTATCATGTATCTGTCTCGCCTGCATTCCAAAGAGTATAGGTCAGGGGACTTCAACCATTCCCAGTAATTTAGATGCTTTATGGTATTTATACGTGCATTAAAGGTTCTCTGTATAATCTCCAGGTCTGCAATTTCGCCTGCCTTGAAAGGGGCCGTTAGTGTACGGCAATATTCCAACCTGGAGAGAACAAGCGATTTGAGGAGAATCATCAATGGCTTGGCATCCCTAGTTTTGAATGTTTTCATTATCCATTCTATCGTTTTTCCTACCAGATGTGGCAGATACACTGTTGTGATCTTTGAAAGTGAGATGATCTGACATTACCACTCCCAGGTCCTTCACATTAGTTTTTCGTTCTACTGTGTGATTGGAATTTCTTTTATACTCTGATACAGTTTTTATTTCCTTGAGTTTTCCATAGTGGAGTAACTGAAATTTCTCTTCATTGAGCTTCATATTGTTTTCTGATGCCCATTGAAAGAGTTAATGTCCAGTTGGAGATTTGCAGTGTATTCAATAGATGACACTGTCATGCAGATTCTGGTATCATCAGCAAAGAACTTAGTGCAGTGCCTTATATCTCTGTCTATGTTAGATATGAGGATGAGGAAAAAGGATTGGGGGGGGGGGTAAGTAGTGAACCCTGTGGAAGAGAACTTTTCACTGTTGCTGCCTCTGACTTTACTCTGTTTACTATTACTCTTTGTGTTGTATTTGTTACGAAATTATAGATCCATCTACCAACTCTTCCTGTTATTCCTTTATCATGCACTTTGTGTGCTATTATGCCATGATCACATTTCTTGAAGGCTTTCACAAAGTCTGTATATACTGCATCTGCATTTTAATTGTCCTCCTGTGCATCCAAGACCATGTCATAGTGATCCAGTAGCTGTGAGAGGCAGGGGCATCCTGTTCTAAACCCATGGTGCCCTGGGTTGTGCAACTAATGGGTACCCAAGCGGTTGGCGATCTTCTTTCTTAGAACTCTTTCAAAGATCTTTATGATGTGGGATGTTAGTGCTATTGATCTGTAATTCTTTCCAATTGCTTTGCTGCCACCCGTGTGGAGGGAAGTTATACCAGTTGCTTTTAGTGACAGTGGGATAACCCGTGTCCACGCTCCCTCTCCACAGTATACTTAAGGCACATGAAAGGAGTTTCTTGCATGAAAGTTCTTGATGAACACGGAGTTCCATGAGGCTGGACCTGGAGCCAAGTGCATCGGCATATCATTTATTGCTTATTCAAAGTCCTGTGGTCCTAGGATAATATTAGAAATTCTTGAATTAACCATATTTTGAGTCTCGGTCATAAAAAAATAATTTAGATTGTCGACCCTTAGTCTGATTAATGGCTCACCAAACGTTTTGAGTCATAATGGGACTTCATCTCACTCATTTCTTTGCTGTCTTCTAAGTCCCATCTCGTTTAAGCAGGGGCCCAATTAATACTGGATGAGGATTTTGCCCTAGATTTGTCATAGGAAAAGAAATAGTTTTTTTTTTTTTTAATTTTATTGACGGCTTTAAGTTTCTGGGCTCCTGCATGATCCCCTGAGCTTAGGTTTGATATTTTCTATTTCTCTGGCCAGTGCCTCTTTCTGTATTTCAGATATACTGGCCTCTTGCAACAGCTCTGTGATTCTTTACCTTCGCCTGTAGAGGGAGTACCTCTCTCTTTCTAGTTTACATCTTCTCTTCTTTTTTTCTTAAGGGAATGTGCCTTGAGTATACCTCAAGTACCACATATCATTATTGAAGTTGAATATGGTGAAAACATCCTCATAACTGATCTCATTTTGCTGGTCAGTAGCACTGCACACACATCTCTGTACTTCTATTATACTGTGATCGGAGTGTATTGTCTTTGGTACTGTTATATTTTGTACCAGATCATCATTATTACCGAAAATAAAGTCAAGTGTATTTTCTAGTCTTGTTGGCTCCACTATTTGCTGGCTTAAGGTGAATTTGTTGCAGAGATTTAATGGCTCATGTATGTGTGAATTTTCATCTGAGCTGCCTCCTGGACTTAGCTCTGCTAAAACATTTGTCACATTTCTTCATATTAGGTGTCGTAAGTTGAAATCACCCAGCAACATGATATCTGGGGCAGGAGTTACATTTTCCAGACAATAGTCAATTTTCAGAGCTGTTCCTTGAATTGTTGGGAAGTTGTATCAGGTGGCTTGTATACAACTAATAACTTCTGTAGCTGGAGTGGCTAAGAAAGAAACGAAGAGGTGTATATGTGCTGAGAGGTTACTGTAATTCCTTTTTATGAGATTAAAGTATTTTTGGCTGGTGGTGAATAGGTAACATGCAGCCTTAATGACCCTCATGTAATTGGCACGTTCTAAGTCCCATTAACCAACTAACCTAAATCAGTTGTGTAGGACGGAGAATAAGGTTGATTTGCCCATATATCTCAACTTACCTGAGGATTTCCTCAGGGAACTGTCAGTTATGAGCTGAATGCTATTACACTGAACTACAGGTCAGTTGATATATCAGTACATGGGGCTACTCACCTAGTGAATATAGATGATGGTGGTCCATCTCTTGAAGTAGGTGAGCATCGAGAGTAATATGCTGGCCCCCACGCCCACATCCCTCAGGCTGGGACACACCCACACCCACACTTCCCTCAGGCCCCCACTCAAACCTTGCGCCAAACACTGCCGCCTCCCCGCCTCCTGCAACATACACGTAAAACACCAGAAAAAAACTATGACAAAATGAACAACAAAATTATTGGTACAAGCAGTAGGGGAAAATAAAGACCCATTAAGTGCCACTGTAATCTTTGTACGTCCATCTATCCATATCTTTACTATGCACCTCATCCACTGGCATGGGGTGCATAATAAAGATATTAAGTAACATGTAAACTTTATGATTACTTGGCCAAAATGTATTGCGTAATAATAAGTGCTTTGAAATTGGGCAACTACATGAGGTATGGAAGATGGTAAATCTAGACCCCATTTTTAAGAAAGGAGACAGACACGAGGCACTAAACTACAGACCAGTGTCACTGACGTGTATAGTGTGCAGAGTCATGGAGAAGGTTATCAGAAGGAGAGCGGTGGAGCACCTAGAACAGAGCAAGATTATAAACGACAACCAGCACGGATTCAGAGAAGGAAAATCCTTTATGACAAGGTAACATCAGTAAGACACGAGAGAGAGGGGTAGGTAGATTGCATTTTCTTTGACTGCAAGAAGGTCATCGACATAGTCACAAGAGATTAGTGCAAAAGCTAGAGGATCAGGTACACATAACAGGAAGGGCATTGCAATGGATCAGAGAATACCTGACAGGGAGGCAACAGTGAGTCATGGTACGTGACGAGGTGTCAGAGTGGGCACCTATGACGCAGGAGGTTCCAAAGGGGTCAGTCCTAGGACCAGTGTTATTTTTGGTATATGTGAATGACATGACGGAAGAGATAGACTACTCAGAAGTGTCCCTGTTTGCAAATGATGTAAAGTTAACGAGGAGAATTAAATCAGATGAGCATCAGGGAGGACTACAAAGAGACCTGGACAGGCTGGAAGCCTGGTCCAGCAACTGACTCCTCGAATTTAACCCCGCCAAATGCAAAGTAATGAAGATCGGGGAAGGGCAAAGAAGACCGCAGACAGAGTATAAGCTAGGTGGCCAAAGACTGCATACCTCACTTAAGGAAAAGGATTTCTGGGGTGAGTATAATACCGAGCACATCTCCTGAGGTGCACATCAACCAGATAACTGCTGCAGCATATGGGCGCCTGGCAATCCTGAGAATAGCATTCTGATATCTCAGTAAGGAATCTTTCAAAACTCTGTACACTGTGTACATCAGGCCCATACTGGAGTATGCAGCACCAGTTTGGAACCCACACTTGGTCAAGCACGTCAAGAAATTAGAGAAAGTGCAAAGGTTTGCAACAAGACTAGTTCCAGAGCAAAAGGTGATTGTCCTACGAAGAAAGGTCAAGGGAAATCGGTCTGACGACACTTGAGGACAGGAGGGTTAGTGGAGGCATGATAACGACATACAAAATACTGTGAGGAATTGACAAGGTGGACAGAGACAAGATGTTCCAGAAAGGGGACACAGAAACAAGGGGTCACAATTGGAAGTTGAAGACTCAGATGAGTCAAAAGGATGTTAGGAAGTATTTCTTCAGTCACAGAGTTGTCAGGAAGTGGAACAGTCTAGCAAGTGACGAAGTGGAGGCAGGCACCATACATCGTTTTAAGAAGAGGTTTGAGCTATGACTCGACCCCTGCAACCACAAATAGGTGACTACACACACACACACACACGCACACACAGTATTATTTCTGAATCCTTCCTTTTAGAGGCCTGGACAGTCGAGACGGTAGAGTGCCCGACTGTCAATTTATAGACCGTGGTTTGAGCCCTTCGTCCACCCATATCTATCTCTCTCTCTCTCTCTCTCTCTCTCTCTCTCTCTCTCTCTCTCTCTCTCTCTCTCTCTCTCTCTCTCTCTCTGTGTTGTGTGTGTGTGTGTGTGTGTGTGTGTGTGTGTGTGTGTGTGGTGGAGGTAAACTCACCTTGCAGCACTCTAATGTTAGCGGTGGACCAGCGTTGCCAGGTAGCCTGACGTGAAGTCTTCACTGCACATGCCCGTGCCATGCCCATTGGCACCACCACGCCCACCTGCTCTCCCAGGTACACGCGCTGGTGGGTTGCCTGCCACAGACGCTGTGAGAACATACCAAGGGCTGCCTGCCAGGCGAAAGAGATTATTAACATGGGACTTTGTCAACTCTTCAGTGTTCACCCACAAACTCAAAACCAAATTCCCACATCATATAATATGAAAACAATACATTTATGCGTTATATATAAAAGAAAACCTTTAAATTTGTGCTTTGATGCTCATGAACAACTCCTGATCCAAGGAACTGGAGCTACCGTCACTTGCCTCAGATAAAAGGTTTTCCCGGGATATCAAATAATGAGGAGGACCTGAGAAACAGTAGGTGGAGCAGCACTGCTGATCACCACCCATTGTATTAATCGGGTGATGAATGAAGTAAACAGAGAGGGGTCGAACTGCTACATAATAAGGACACTCATAATTATCTAGGAGACCCAAGGTGATGATAGCTGTTATGTACAACCCACCACTCAACAGCAGGAATATGAGAAGAGCAACAGGACAGTGGTGGCCACAACAGCAGGGGCAGCTAGAATAATAATAATATAACAACTAAGTGTTATATTCCTTGCCCGAAGTCCTCTGCATTTCTGGCAGACCTAAGACTAACTTAAGATTAATAAGGTAATAAGAGCGCAGTAACTGTATATAAGGTCATTAGGTGAGTTACAATGAATACAAGAAAATTGACTAGTTTATTAGTTCATGTTATATAACTTTAATAAGTTTGGTAGAGAACAATTATATTTTTGATTATTAACCTGAGGTGGACACAATGGAATAATTAACATTTGAGAGAATTACAGATACTGAGACTAAGTATATATTGATTATAATGTTTTAACTAAGTTAATGATATTCAGCAAATGCATGTATAGTTTTTACATATGTATTTATGATGGGCGAGGATAGGTTAAGGAGATAAGGTGTTTTCTAACTGTAGTTTTAAAAATGCCGAGTCAGTGGTTCTGGAGATTTCTGGCAGAGAGTTCCAGATTTTGGGTCCTTTTATATACATTGAGTTTTTGAAAAGATTTAGCTGCACAGGGAATGTTACAGAGATTTTTGTGCCTAGTATTGTGTCTATGGGTCCTGTTGCAACTGTCAAGAAAGCGCTTCAGGTAGAAATTTATATTAGACTTGGGTGTTCTGTTAATGCAGGTTGCACAGTAGTACGAGTGAATGTTTTGTATAGTGAGTAAGTTTAGGTGTTTGACGTGGGGGGGGGGGGGGGTTGTCTAGCTGTGGATTGTGTGATCATTCACACTGCAGCTTTTTGTTGGGTTATTATTGGCTTTAGGTGACTTGTTGTTGTGGAACCCCAGGTACAAATTGTATAGTTGAGGTAGAGGTAGATCAGTGAATGGTATATTGTAAGTAGTGCTGTTTGTGGTACATAGTAACGTATAGTTCATGCCAACTGTTTTAGATACTTTTTTTGTTATGTGTTGGATATGGGTGTTGAATTTCAGGTTGCTGTCATTTTTAGACAGGAATTTTCCCTCATTATGTTTAGCAATAATGATGTTGTTGGTATAAACCTTGGTAATAAATACCGACAAGTTGGTTTAGAAAGACAAATAAGCAAACACTATGACATATTTATTAGAAAACGTTTCGGTCATGGGACCTTGATCACTTCTATTAGAAGTGATCAAGGTCCCAGGACCGAAACGTTTTCTAATATGTCATAGTGTTTGCTTACGTGTCTTTCTAAACCAATGATGTTGTTAAACATAATGTTTAGTTGGACCTCACTTGCTCTACTTCCAAACAATGTAAAAATTTTGTCTATGTTCAGTGTAAGTTTAATGACAGTCATCCAGGTTGCTATTTTTGCGAGCTCTCCATTAACAAGAGTGTTGAGTGAGGATAGATTAGGGTGAGAGATGACAAAACTCGTGTCGTCAGCAAAGAGAATAGGCGTAAGTTTTTGTGACACGCTTGGAAGGTCGCTGATGTATGAAAGGAAAAGGAGGGGGCCAAGAACGCTTCCCTGTGGTACAACAGTATCCAGGGTCTTGTTGAAGAGGTTGTGTCCTTGATAGAGACGTATTGCTTTCTATTAGTAAGGTACGACTTGACATATGCAAATGCGTGTCCTCTTATACCGTAATGATCAAGTTTGAGGAGTAGGATGTTGTGGTTTACTGTATCAAAAGCTTTCTTAAGTCGCTAGAGTCCAAGCGGGTATTCGCTTTTTCAAGAGCTGTATAAATTAAGTTAGCATTTTTATTAAAGCGTCATTTGTGCTTTTGTTTTTCTTGAAGCCAAACTGGCAGGGGTTGAGGATGCTTTGTGATGTTATGAAGGAGCATAACCTTTTGTGTATAAGCTTCTCGATGATTTTGGAAAGTAAAAGCAAGTTTGATATTGGCCAATAATTGTTTATATCTGTTAGGTCACCACCTTTGTGTATTGGTGTAATCCTTGCTATTTTGAGTGATGCCGGGAAAGTGTTGGTTTCTAGTGATTTGTTAAAGAGTAATACAATGGTGAGTGAAAGGATATGAGCCGCTCGTTTGTACAGTAGTGGTGGTATTTGGGTTACATTTCCTGATTTGTTTTTTTAGAGAATTAATAATCATGGTAACCTCAGTGGGCTCTATTGGTGTAAGACAGAGAGATGTTGGGAAGTATCCATCTAGATAATCAGTTAGTTTAATATCTTTATTATGCACCCCACACAGGTACATAATGGGTCCAGGGACTGGACCCCAAAGTTTTGATAGCTGGACAAGTTGCAAAGATAATGAACTCCAGGTAGATCTGGTCACAATCATGAAAACTTACAAAGGTAATGAACCATCTACACGTCAATACACGGTTACAATCATGAACATAAGATATTATCTCCTTTATAACATAATAATAAGGTATTAAAGGACCCCACTGGAAATAAGTCACTTTGTCTGACCTTTTTTTTTGGGTTATCCCAGGTTCTCTACACATATGCTGCTATGTATGATAATCTGTGTAATTGTGTTTGTGTATACCTAAATAAACTTACTTATAACAAATTACAGAGTAATGAGCCATTAGCTCGGGCAACGATAATTGGAATTTTACTGGCGAGATTTGATCCTATATTTGAGAAGAAGTCATTTATCTTGTTAGCTGTATCAAGTGGCTGGAGTTTCGGTTTGTTTGGTTTAGTTAGTACAATATTACTAGTTCTGTTCGGTTTATGGTGCCCAGGATCTGAGAGAGTGTCGTCCACGTCTTTTTAATATCTCCTCTCGTTTCCTGGAGTATACCTGGAGAGGGTTTCGGGGGTCAACGCCCCCGCTGCCCGGTCTGTGATCAAGCCTCATGGTGGATCAGGGCCTGATCAACCAGGCTGTTACTGTTGGCTGCACGCAACCTGACGTACTAACCACAGCCCGGCTGGTCAAGTACTGACTTTAGGTGCTTATCCAATGCCTTCTTGAAGACAGTCAGGGGTCTATTGGTAATCCCCCTTATGTATGCTGGGAGGCAGTTGAAAAGTCTTGAGCCCCTGACTTATTGTGTTGTCTCTTATCGTGTTAGTGACACCCCTGCTTTTCATTGGAGGGATATTGCATTGTTTGCCGAGTCTTTTGCTTTCATAGGGAGTGATTTTCGTGTGCAAGTTTGGTACCAGTTCCTCTAGGATTTTCCAAGTGTATATAATCATGTATCTCTCCCGCTTGCATTTTAGGGAGTACAGGTTTAGGACCTTCAAGCGTTCCCAGTAATTTAGGTATTTTATCTCCGTTATGCGCGCCGTGAAGGTTCTCTGTACATTTTCTAGGTCAGCAATTTCACCTGCCTTGAAAGGTGCTGTTAGTGTGCAGCAATATTCCAGCCTAGATAGCACAAGCGACCTGAAGAGTGTCATCATGGGCTTGGCATCCCTAGTTTTGAAGGTTCTCATTATCCATGCTGTCATTTTTCTAGCAGATGCGATTGAGACAATGTCGTGGTCTTGAAGGTGAGATCCTCTGACATTATCACTTCCAGGTCTTTTACATTAGTTTTCGCTCTATTGTGTAGCTGGAATTTGTTTTATACTCCGATACAGTTTTAATTTCCTCACGCTTTCCATATCGGAGTAATTGAAATTTCTCATCATTGAACTTCATATTGTTTTCTGTGACCCATTTAAAGATTTGGTTGATGTCCGCCTGGAGTCTTGCAGTGTCTGCAGTGGAGGACACTGTCATGCAAATTCGGGTGTCATCTGCAAAGGAAGACACGGTGCTGTGGCTGACATCCTTGTCTATGTCAGATATGAGGATGAGGAACAGGATGGGAGTGAGTACTGTGCCTTGTGGAACAGAGCTATTCACCGCAGCCGCCTCTTTGTGTTCTATTTGTCAGGAAATTATAGATCCATCTACCAACTTTACCTGTTATTCCTCCATCACGCATTTTGTGCATTATTACACCATGGTCACACTTGTCAAAGGCTTTTGCAGTCTGTGTATACTACATCTGCGTTTTGTTTGTGTTCTATCGCATCCAGGACCTTGTTATAGTGATCCAGTAGTTGGGACAGACAGGAGCGACCTGCTCTAAACCCATGTTGCTCTAAGTTGTGTAATTGATGGGTATCTAGATGGGTAGCGATATTGCTTCTTAGAACCCTTTCAAAGATTTTTATGATATGGAACGTTACCGCTATCGGTCTGTAGTTCTTTGCTTTTGCTTTACTGTCCCCTTTGTGGAGTGGGGCTATGTTTGTTGTTTTTTTAGCAGCTGTGGGACGACCCCCGTGTCCATGCTCCCTCTCCAGAGGATGATAGGGGGCTTCTTGCAGTTCTTGATGAACACGGAGTTCCACGAGTCTGGCCCTGGGGCAGACTGCATGGGCATGTTATTTATCGCCTCTTCGAAGTCATTTGGTGTCTGGATAATATCAGATAGGTTTGAGTCTACTAAATTCTGTCTCGCTCATAAAAAAATTCATTTAGGTCTTCGACTCTCAGTCTGGTTAGCGACTCGCTAAAAACAGTCATATTGGGATTCACTCATTTCCTTGCTGTCATCTGTGTAGGAACCCATCTCGTCTAAGTAGGGGCCCAATACTGGATGTTGTTCTCGACTTTGATTTGGCACAAGAAAAGAAATATTTTGGGTTTCTTTCAATTTCATTTATGGCTTTTAGTTCTTCCCGCATTTCTTGACTCCTGTAAGATTCCTTTAGCTGTAGTTTGATGTTTGCTATTTATCTGACCAGTGTCTCCCTTCGTATTACAGATACATTTCGCTCTTTTAGTCACTCTGTTATTCTTTGCCTTCGCCTGTATAGGGAGCGCCTTTCTCTTTCTAGTTTACAATCTAGACACAGAGTTGGATCCGTGTTGCTTAGTCTATCTTCCCAGTTTATATCACTTAGGACCTGGTTGACTTGGTCCCACCTTATGTTTTAGTTACTGAAGTTGAATTTGGTGAAGGCTCCCTCGTGACTGATCACATTTTGTTGGTCTGAGGCCCCCGGCATACCTGTCTGAACCTCTGTTATGTTGTGATCTGAGTATATTGTTTTTGATATGGTAATATTTCGTATCAGATCATCATTGTTAGTGAAGATGAGGTCCAGTGTATTTTCCAATCTTGTTGGCTCTAATATTTGTTGGTTTAAGATGAATTTGGTGCAGAAATTTAAAAGCTCATATGTGTGCGACTTTTCATCTGAGCTGCCTCCTAAGGTTATGTCTGATACAGCATTATTTGCTACAATTCCTCCATTTTAGGTGCCTTAGGTTGAAATCCCCCACGAGCAAGATGTTTGGGGCAGGAGCTGGAAGATTTTCCAGACAGTGGTCTATTTTCAAAAGCTCTTCCTGGAATTGTTGGGAAGTTGCATCTTGAAGCTTATATACAACCACAATGACCAGGTTTCGGTTCTCGATCTTTACTGCCAAAATTTCAACTACATCATTTGAGGTATTTAGTAGTTCTGAGCATATCAGTGACTCTGTGACGTACAGGCCAACCCCCCTTCCCTCCTTTTGCCTGTTCACTCTGTCGCATCTGTATGGTTATAACCTGGAATCCATATTTCATGTGGATCTTTGTGAAAACCGCGAACATTGAGTTTGACTCTGTAAGCAGTCCACAGATGAAAGATATTTTGTTGTTCGTTGCTGGCTTTAGACCCTGTATATTTGCAAAGCTGAATGTCGTCGGATTAGTGGTACTGGTGTTGTTTTGGAGTGGAGGCCATCGACCGTGATTCCACTCCAGAAATGATCGGAGTTGGTGTACGATTTCTGTCATTTCCTGCCAGCTTTTTTTCCTTTCCTGGCGCTAAAAAAAAAAAAAAACTGTCTATCTGGAGTGGCTGTGGCTACCCAGGTTTTCCCATGGTCTGAATGTTCTGTATCTTCTTGCCCCCTTTAGGTGGTGTGTCTGACAATATAAGTTATAGCACTGTCTTTCCTGAACTGAAGATTGACACATTGCAGGATGGAAGGTTTCATTTTCCTGTTGTCATGTGGGCATGGCATTTCCTGGGATGGTCAAAGTTGCACGTCCCATCTGTTTTCCCAGATATTTCATGCCTGCAGATACCTAATGCTAAGAATTTGCATAGGTCCGATTTATGTTTACCTTGGTTTTTCGTGACTGCATTTCCTACTCGTGCGTGTTTTCCTGTCTCTTTACTATCCTCAGCACTTGTACTAACAATGGTGCCTTCACCAGTTTTTTCCTGGTATTTTGTTTTCACTATTCCTTGAGGCATCCCCTTCTTTACTCTCTCCAGTGGTATCGCTAGTTTGTAGCTTTGGGTTTTGCATATCCTTGTCTACACTTGTTTCCCCACTAAAGCTCCTGTCTCCCTCCAGGTCACCAACTTTCATTTCTGTATTCTTACAGTTACTGTCTACCAGGACATCATCTGCACCAGGTGTGATAGCACCATCTGGCCCAGTACTTTTGTTTTCCCATCTGTTATAGAATGCTGTCAGGTTTTCTATGAAGGCCATTATGATGTTTCCGTCTTTTATTACCAATGTGACTTTCTTCCACAGTTGGTTCTCATTTGGACATACCCAAAAACACTGCAGTGAATCTATTATAAGAATTTAGTTGCTTGGACTTTCTGATTAATTTGGTGAGGAATTGACGTATAGTGTTTGATAAATTCTTTAGGTATTAAGCCCGTGGCCTGGTGGCCACGGGCTTCACACGGCGAGGGTCTGGGTTCGATTCCATGCGAGGGTAAAAACATTAGGCGTGTTTCTTTACACCGGTTGTCTATGTTCACCCATCAGTAAAATGGGTACCTGGTGTGGGTCGCATCCTGGGACAAAACTGACCTAAATTGCCCAAAATGCTCTGCATGACAAGCGACTTTTTATATAGCAGTATGTCAGTGATGTCAACTGGGACTGTATACCTTGTACATGTACTGGTAGTAAATAAAGATATTATTATTATTATTATTATTATTATTATTGTTGTTGTTGTGTTTGATATTAAATTATCTTAGAACGGTGTTAGTAAGTCATGGGCAACTTAGTCTTTTTTAGTGATCTGTTTAGTTTTTATGGGACAATGTTTATTATATAATCTCTGTATTTTGTTTAGAAATATGTCTACCCATTGACTGATAACAACAGTATTGGAAAATTCTGTAGGCCAGTCAACTGAGTTTAGTTCTGTAGTGAAGTTACTTATTGTTAAGTAAGACACATATGCAACAGTTAGGTATCTTTATTTCGAAACGTTTCGCCTACGCAGTAGACTTCTTCAGTCGAGTACAGAAAAGTTGATAGAAGCAGAAGAATCTTGAAGTAATCAGTGAAGTTACTTATTGATGCCTCACCATGGAGTCGAAAAGAGAACTTATTTTATTCCAATGTTGCTTACAAATGTTTGTTATGAGGAAAGTTGGGTAGTGGTCAGTAGTGTCGTCCGTGATTATCCCCGCTTTTAGGAGGAGCTAGTGTGTTTGTCCATATGTGGTCAATTATGGTTACACTCATCTCGGTCTTGTTGGTTTTGTAACTGGTGGTATGAGTAGTGTATTGTTCATATTGTTAACTCGGAGCCTCCTACTCGTAGGAGACCCCGAGTTATCGTTTACTAAAGACATAACATACAAACAAGACTTGCAACTACGGGAGTACCAACTCATGGCCTCCTACGAGTGAAACACCTGTATTTCCACGTGACTTCCTTGTCTTGCCACGAGATTATATTTAATATTAAGAGTATCGATGTAATCTTGTCGCTTCATCCATGCTGTACCACTGATTGATTGATGTTGGTTCGCCGGTTCTTCGGGCCCGGGTCTTCTCCAGATGGCGACCCGGCAACATGCTGTACCACTTCTCATCTGTATGGGCAGTTGTAGTACCATGGAGTGATCCTGCACGACTGCAGTCTACAGAAGCACCAAACACAGCTGCCAAGCTTGATCCTCCTCCTTTATGGTATAAACTATGATGTTTTTTATTTTACTCTTATCAATAGATATTATCATATTTTAGGTATTCGGGTGCGCTGGCAAATTTTAAGTGGGAAGTCCTGTCTATGGAGCGAGTTGAGACTCTTCTTTCAGAGTAAAGGTACTCTCGTAGACAAACATGCACAGCCTAAACCTCCTTACTCAGGAAACCTGATTATTATTATAAAAACAAGAGTTAAATCCACAAGGGTCACGGCGCTGCAGGGAGGGATGTGTAGAAGCAGAAAAGTGTGCGAAGGTCAAGAATAAGTAAGAGTCAGGGGTGTGCAAGTAGGGGGTTATTAACGTAGTGGTGGGGTTAGTACAAGCAAAACTTAAATCAAGGATGATTCAAGGGGCTAGTTTAAGTTAAAAAGTCAAAAAGATATTCTACGGTAAAGGCAGAAGTTTCAGCAAGGCCGTCAAGACTGTTGGGGCAGTTTAGATGTTGGAAGTGAGTCTTGTGTGAGACAACCTCTTATATATGTTGGCCGGATACGATCTGACAGTCTTCACAGCGTGGTGCTGGTTGTTTGTGTATGTATATCCATGAGTGAGTCGCATGTGTCCAACATGTAAGTGCGAGAGTGCAGTCTCCCGAACTTGACAACGATGGAAGATACCCAAAATGCTCAACGTGGTTTGACATAAAACAATTTGTCGTGCTCCAAGACGGACCAACATTGTTGCCAGCGGTTGCGGAGGTGGTGAGACAACACTGAACAATAGTCTGAGCAAGGAATACCCATAAGGAAAATCTGAAGCTCTTGAATGGCTGACCGAGCGACAGAGTCTGTATGTTCACTGCCACGAACATGTCCAGGGACTCAGCAAAATACGACTTTCTGCATGCTAGAAATGTGACATGAGTAAGGATTCATTTCCCACACTTAAGGAACTCAAACTAACAACACTAAAACAAAGTGGAAGGGAGGGAATACATAAGCATGATTAGACAGAGTGGACAGACAAGCAGCTTGAGATGCGACGGGGTACAGGAGACAGGAAACAATCCGGGCAACCCATCTTCGCAAGTTTATATGGGTTTCTCACATGCGGTTTGTAACTTGAAAAAGCCCACTGTGTGGGCGAAACGTAGTCAATAAAGGATCACATTATACTGCATATGTGTTTATATTTCCATTGTAGCAAATTTCTTGGTTTACGTTACTTAGGTTATTTAGGTTACAATCGGCTAGTTTACAGATTAACTGAATAATGTTGGACTGTCCTCTATCAGTTAAAATTATCCAATTACAAGATACCATAAGAGCAATAAATAAATATAAGATAAACGTGATAAATGGTACTTACGTGTGAACAAAAAGAACAGGGACCCATCAAACACAATAGAATAACAGACAACAGGGATCACCAAGCACATCAAAACAGACAACGGGGACCCATCAAACACAATAGAATAACAGACAACAGGGATCACCAAGCACATCAAAACAGACAACGGGGACCCATCAAACACAATAGAATAACAGACAACAGGGATCACCAAGCACATCAAAACAGACAACGGGGACCCATCAAACACAATAGAATAACAGACAACAGGGACCACCAAGCACATCAAAACAGACAACGGGGACCCATCAAACACAATAGAATAACAGACAACAGGGACCACCAAGCACATCAAAACAGACAACGGGGACCCATCAAACACAATAGAATAACAGACAACAGGGACCACCAAGCACATCAAAACAGACAACGGGGACCCACCAAGCACAACAGAATAACAGACAACAGGACCACCAAGCACATCAAAACAGACAACAGGGACCCACCAAGCACAACAGAATAACAGATAACAGGAACCACCAAGCACATCAAAACAGACAACAGGGACCCACCAAGCACAACAGAATAACAGCAACAGGGACCACCAAGCACATCAAAACAGACAACAGGGACCACCAAGCACATCAAAACAAACAGGGACCACCAAGCACATCAAAACAGACAACAGGGACCACCAAGCACACCAGAATAACAGACAACAGGAACCACCAAGCACACCAAAACAGACAACGGGGACCCACCAAGCACAACAGAATAACAGACAACAGGGACCACCAAGCACAACAGAATAACAGACAACAGGGACCACCAAGCACATCAAAACAGACAACAGGGACCACCAAGCACATCAAAACAGACAACGGGACCCACCAAGCACAACAGAATAACAGACAACAGGGACCACCAAGCACATCAAAACAGACAACAGGGACCCACCAAGCACAACAGAATAACAGACAACAGGGACCCACCAAGCACAACAGAATAACAGACAACAGGGACCACCAAGCACAACAGAATAACAGACAACAGGGACCCACCAAGCACAACAGAATAACAGACAACAGGGACCACCAAGCACAACAGAATAATAGACAACAGGGACCACCAAGCACAACAGAATAACAGACAACAGGGACCACCAAGCACAACAGAATAATAGACAACAGGGACCACCAAGCACAACAGAATAACAGACAACAGGGACCACCAAGCACAACAGAATAAATCAAATACAATTTGAAGCTCTTTAAAGTGTGATCCACTTAACTGTGTTAGCAAGAGTGTAATACTGTGAGTTATTAAGAGAAGAAGCAAGAGTTCATCTGGAAACAATAATTAGTTTGACTTGTTATTCGTCTATGTATGTTGAAAATCCTATTTAAGTAATTTAAGTAACTAGTTAGTAATCGGAGGACAGGTATGATAGTTACATTGTGGGAACAACATCTGTGTATAACTACTTTGTTCTATATGATAGTTACCTTCTGGTAACTATCATATAGAGCTTATTTCTTGGGTGGCATTGAAAATTGGGTTGGGCAAATGTTTTGTTAGTGGGATGAATTGTAAAGGACCTGCCTAGTATGGGCCAACAGGCCTCCTGCAGTGTTCTCCTTTCTTATGTTCTTATGAAACACACGCAGTAACTACCTTATGCCGTATGATAGTTATACTGTGCCAGCAATAGCTATAAATCATTGTAATATTCTATTACAAAAGATGGGTTTGATACACGAGGTGATGAAGTGTCAGCGTGAGCTGGGAAACTTTAGTAATGTGATGAGGATATCGACCAGGATTCTTTTGTGTTGACTAGAAGAATCAAGAATATATTTTTAAAATAACATTACTATTAATATTCAAACGGCAAAAAAAAGGGCAAAAAAGGGGGTTTCCAAAGGCAAAAAACCCAAGGGATTCAAACGGGCGGGGGGTTTTCAAACGGGCAAAGGCAAGATTGGGCAGGGGAAAGGGCAAAGGGGTTTGGGGAGGCACCAAAAAGGGGAAACGGAAGAAGTGAAAGGGGGGGCAAGAGGGTTTCAAGGACAAGACGGGGGAAAGGCAAGAGGGGCGGGGGAAAGTAAGACGGGCGGGGGGGGCCCAGATTGGGAAAAGGGGAAACAAGACGGGTTTAAAAGGGACAAACTGGTTTAAAGGGGGAAAAGGGCCAAAAATTTTCAAAAAAATTCAAGATGGTTTTAAGGGGATTCAAGG